CTTTGCCGCAATAGTTCCCATGCTAATTTCACCGAAAAAAGACCAATTTGTGACAGAAATCATATCATTCTATCAGCCTGATCATGTTGAAAAAAAAAAAACTCTTGGATAGCCCGTACCACATGAACCGGTACCCACTGTAAAAGACGTTGCTCATTCCAGGCCTCTCCTGAAAAGAACTCAACCACCAAAAAATGTGGTGACTCAGATCTATCCAAAATGGAACACAGTGGCTCATCAAATAATCATCTATCTCTCCAAAAATTCACCAATCCCTCTCCCAACGACCATCTAATATTCTGCTCCACCAAGTGTTGCATCTCCTCCAAGTGCCTCCATAACACTGTAGGGCAAGGGAAGGAGATTGAGACTGCATGAAGACCTTTTATGTATTTTTCATGCATAAAGTCAGCCCAAACAGACTCCTTAAACAGGAGCTTTCACCAAAACTTGCACGCAAATGCTTGAGACATATTCTCAAATGGCTGAAAGCCTAGACCACCCTCCTTATCCAAGATGACCTCTTTAATCTTGATATGAGGAAAATATGGTTGTAGGACAGTGTTAAATATTTTTTTGATTGTACGAGTTGCTTACTTATGGAGTTAGGTTAAGGTGAGAGATTGAATTGAATATGATTAAATTTGAGTAGAATTGTCTCTCCTTTACTAGACGTTATGGGCATTTTTGTGAGGACTTGTAAAATCTCTTATATTTTTCTTAAAATTTCCCTTATTTGGCATGTATTACTTTTTAAAAGTCTTACTACTTATTCACCCCATAATAAGTGCAAACAAACATAGAATCAAGGGTTTTTCCTTTTGTTTTCTTGTTATCGTAAATTAGGATTTTTACGTCTTTACATAGTATGAGTAATCGGTACGGAATATGTATTAAATTTGGTGATTAAGAGTGAGTTTTAGATGAGAAAATACTGTGTGATTAGAAGTAATAATAATAAATTAGTGAATGGTAAGTAAAAACTCTAGTACGTGCGAGTTGAGGAAAAACGGTGCGAACCGACGTGTACCGTTCACTACCGATTGAACACACCACTTGACCACTACTTTATTAATTTAATCTCCTTGTCATTAGTGCCAAAATATCATCCCTAATCAGCCAAGAGAGAGAGAGCCAAAATTCTTGACCAAAAAGAAAGGAAAAAGAAGAAAAATTCAAGATGAAATCTTATGACGAAAAGTGGCGAACATTCCAAGGTTGTTGACCAACCAATTTCTTTCATATTTATCACCAAAAATCACTTCATTTGCTCTTCATTTCTGCCATTCCAGCCGAGCCTTGAGGGGGAAAAACAAGAGAGAAAGATCACTTCATTCCTTCTTGATTCCTAGCTTAGTTGAGAGAAAATAAAAAATTTAAACCGATTAACTTCTAAATTGGGAGTTTAGGAAGCTTGGGGTGCTAAAGTTTGGAAAGGAAAGGTGAAGGATTTCTCTTGCAAGCATCTTAGAGAGGTACATGGTTGCCTTTCCTTTATCTTTTTCTTAAACTTGATTAAGTTTGGATAACAATTCATACTTGTGCCAAATGATAGTTATTTAAGTGGTTTGAATGGATGTGGTGGATGTTTTTGAGTTTAGGGTTGAGTTGTTCAATTGTATTTCTTGTTATTTAGATAGCATATGATATCTATAATCTTGTATAGGAAGTTGAAGTAGTGGTTCAAGCTAGAAATGTGAAAGTTAAACCTTGAATGCACTAAATTCCAGATTTAAGGAGTAAAACTGCCCTGTTCTGACCAGCTTTATTTGTGTATGTTAGAGGCCGAATTGGGCTTAGATTAAAACATGAAAATTGTAGGAAATGATGTTATATAATTGCCTGTAAAATTTCAGCTTGATCGGAGTACTGTATCATATGAAATGACGAAATACCCCTGATTGCCAAAAGCCTCATTTCGTGGACAGTTTTGAGATTTCACAAGTTATTATCATTTGAATTCAGTACTGACAACCGTACTGACAAGGACATTCTAGTTCTGTAATTTGTAATTTCGACCTGGATCAATTGTGAAATGGGTTGAATTGACTTCATGAAAGTTGTAACCCTTTGTCTTACCTTTTAAACGGTATAATGTGCACCCCAATCCGATAAACGTAACTCCAGTTGTGACCAAAATGATATAAGATGTCGAATCTGTTGTTTAGCTTTGGTCCTCAAAACTGATTTTTTGTTTGTTTTATTAGACTTGGGTTATAAATGGATGATTGTGGAGCCTAATTGAAGGGTTATGTTGATAACATTGCTTGTGTGTGTTTTGGGGCTGAATGAGAAAAATAATGAAATCATAAATGGTTGGAAAATAGGTAAACACAAAGGGCTTGCTGCCCAAATTTACACTCGAGAGTTAGGTTGAGATACTCGCGACTTGAGTACGAATTCGGGAACGAATCTTACTTGAATTATCTAGGGTATTCAAGTTTTCTTTCATAGAGGTATATAAGTTAGAATTTGGCCGAAACTTGTACCATTGGAAAACATGAAAGTAACGACTACTCGAAATACATTTTTCTCGTCACTTCGACTCAAACGGAGATTTCAAAGGTTAATCACTTTAAAGTTTCACTGTTTTAAAAGCGAGCATGAGTTTACAAAGATTCTCTAAATAAGTTTCAATTACGCGATTCTCGTTAAACGAAACATTTAAGTTTCGAACCTTAGTTACTTGTAAAAGCTTTTAAACAATGTTTTATCGCAGATTTGGACTCCAAACACGGAGTAATACCCGAACGTGACCCGTAAAGGCACTACATCTTTTGATAAGTACTTCCAAATATCTGATTGAACTTAACACTTGTTTTCAATACTTGACTAATGTGATCGAATGATATTTGATTAGTATGGTCGGGTAAGGGTGTACTTTATCGCACTTACCCTAATATGATATGTACGTGTTTATTGGTGCAAGTGATTTGATATACTTGTGCTTGATTTGTAAGTGCTGGAGCGGCAGCATGTACCCCACTCAATCCGAGTGGGAGGTGCCTCTCATTCCCGTCTCCGTACTTTTATCTTGATTCAATCGATTGGAGATTTTATCTCATCGAATTCTTGGGAACCCAAACCCCACTGGCTAGTTAATCAAGTCGAACCGGCAAGGGTTTGGTCGATTAGATAACGAACCATGGGTATCTAGTGTTATCGAGTAGAGTGTTATCTCTTTGACTAATCGTTATACTCGAGTATTACCACTAGTGTTTATCTTGGAGTTCGGGCCCAGTAAGGGGTTTGATTGATGGACGGAGATTGGAGTTAAGTGGTGTACTACTGGACTAATTACCTTACTTGAAAGTTGATGGAGTGTCAACTACTATTTGATCAAGTTATGGTGGAACTGGTTTACCAAGGCAACTGTATCCTTTTTACATGAAATACTAATTATGAAATGTTGGCTGTACAAGTGTATTGCTCATTTTCTTGACTTGTTATGGTCGCTATTTCACTACTATGTTACATTTACTGTTAATTAATGGTCAATTTGCTATTTGGAACATCACTGAGCTATAGCTCACTCCTTAGTTTTGTTTTCCTTACAGGGGGTACGAGCGAGGTGTGAGACGTGTACAGACTAGCGTAGTCTAGTTGTTTTGAATTTTGAAATTGTACTCGCGCTAGCACCTGACTAGGGTTGTTTGTACTTGGATTGTAAACTCGTTAATGTATTTGGGCGTGTATGAGTCTTGTAGTTGGATTTGAACATCAATGTATATATATTAAGTTTGAATTTATTGTGTTATTTAGTTTCTATGGATGTAAGTTATTTTCTCGAGTTACGAGTGAGTGAGTCCTGGCGAGAGTTGGGCAGGCGACTCGCTAAACCCTAGTGTACACCCTAGGGAGAGGTAGGATCGTCACAATTTTGGTGTAATTTGAATGGTTACATAATGATTGATTATCTAATCATGGGATTTGAATTTGAAAAAAAATATGTGCTTTGGATAGACACTTGAATCATTGGTTTTGTAGTTTATTGATATTGCTTGAGAACAAGCAATGATTTAAGTGTGGAGAAGTTGATAAGCGCTAATTTTATTATTAGTTTGAAAGTGTTTCATATTGTTCTTGAGTCAATTTGTGGAGTTAAAAGATATAAGTTGTTCCTTTTGGCTTTTAATTTGCATCTTGAGATCATAGTTGAAGTAGTCATGATTATGTTGGGTGCCAAACCAGCAAATATAAAAATTTCTACTCCAAAAATCTAATATTCAAGTATAATGGTAAGTAACGTCAAATCCTCAGGAATTGTACATGTTATTATTTTTCTTATAAAAATGACAATAAATGAAATGGGGGTTTTAAGTAAATTAATATAAGGTTGCATTTGATAAAACTGAAGTCTGAAAACTGAAATCTGAAATTTGAAGTCTAAATCCATTGAATTATTAAATTGGTAAGTATTAAATCAAATACGCTTGAGTGTATATCATATTCAATGATAAATGAATAACTTATCATTTATTTTTTGGAACAAGTTTTCCCTAGAAAGTTCAATACCAATTAATTCAAATATTCAATTTTTAGTTATCAAACACATTTGAACATATTAAGATTGTAAATCCATTAATTTAAGTGCTGAATGAGATTATCAAACAAGGGCTAAGTAACTTAAGCGATGAAAAATAATAATGCAAAATTGAATAAAAATAAACCAATATCAAACAATTCTCTAGTCAAAGGTTTAATCGCCACTTTGGTTCATTTAGTGATCATCGATGCTAAGAAATAAATCATTATTTATAAACACAATTGATTATGGTTTTCAACAAGTTCTGACTACCTGTTTCTCCTTACTTTGTCGATAACCACAATAAATTCTATGATTATTTTCCTTATCAATTAAGTAACCCTAAACAAGCTTTTAGGATTTAACCTGTTGACAACATTAAATATTAGAAAGACTACCAGCCCTAAACACTAGGTTTTTCCATGCCCAAGTTAAGCAATGACGCGTGCGTAGTTATATACACCGTATAAAGGATATGAATGGCGTGTCGGTAGACGAGCAGTTCCAGATAGAATCCATGGTGATTGAGTACTTCTCTGAAGTGTTGGCGCAACAAGCACAAGTTCCAGTGGATCATTCCCTCCTAGACATTATCCCCTCAGTGGTTTCAGAGCATGACAATGAGATTCTTCAACAATTACCTACTGAAGACGAGATTCAAAGAGTGGTATTCCAGATGAATGGGGACAGTTATTCGGGGCCTGCTACGTTTACCGGCTCTTTCTTTACTACATGTTGGGACGTTGTGAAAAGGGATGTGTGTAGAGCGGTCGGGGATTTTTTTACGGGGGCGGAGCTACTTTGGGGGTACACAGCTACGCTGTTGGCTTTGATTTCGAAAGTACAAGGTGCGTCTTCTTTCTCGGAGTTTAGGCCAATTTGATCGTGTAATTTTGTGAATAAAATTCTCCTTAAATTGCTGGCACTGCGTCTGGAGGCTATTCTGCTAAAATAATCTTGCCCCAACAGAGTGGATTTGTGAAGGGCAGGCAGATATCTGATAATATACTACTGGCTCTGGAAATGTGTTCGGGGTTGGGAAGGAAAGTAAGGGGTGCTAATGTGGCATTAAAATTGGACATGGCTAAAGCTTATGATCGGGTCTCCTGGTGTTTCTTACTACAAGTTATGTGGAGGTTTGGGTTTGGGGAATAGTGGATCGATATGATCTGGCGGCTGATCTCTTCTTGCCACTTCTCCGTACTGGTGAATGGGAAACCCTGTGATTTTTTTCACTCATCTCGGGGATTGCGGTAAGGGGATCCTCTATCTCCGGCTCTATTCATCATTGCGGTTGAGGTACTCTCGAGGGGTTTGAACGCCTTGGTGGGGAACCGGCAATTTTTACTGTTTCTGGTTGCTCGAGGTTGCCCCCGTTGACACAGTTAGTTTATGCCAATGACATTATTATATTTTGGAATGGGACTACACGCTTGCTGTCATGTGTGATGGACGTACTAGATAAATACCAGAGATCCTCAGAGCAGCAGGTGAACGCATCTAAGAGTTGTTTCCTGCTGGGCAAGGGAGTGTCTCTTGCTCATCGCAAGGTGATCTCGCAAGTTACTGGTTTCTCCGCCAAGGATCTGCCAATCACCTACTTGGGTTGCCCGTTGTATGTTGGGAGATGGATGAAAGGGTTGTTCACTGGCTTACTGGATAAAGTCTCGCAGTGATTGACGGCTTGGCGAGGTCGATGGTTATCCATGAGTGCTCGGGCTCTACTCATTAAGCATGTGTTGAACTCAATCCCGATTCATCTTTTCGTAGTGCTGATGCCTCCGAGAGGGATAGTTGCTGAGTTGGAGTGGATGTTTGCTCGATTTTTTTGGGGGGAGTCAGAATTCGGTCTTAAAAGCCATGACTGAAGTTATGCCGTCCTATGGAGGAAGGAGGGGTAGGCTTGCGGTCTTTACAAGCAATTAGTGATGCTTTTTCTTGTAAGCTTTGGTGGTTGTTTAGGGTGACCAGTCACTCTAGGCTACATTTATGCGGGGCAGGTATGTCGGTGGTTTACATTCTAATCAGGTGGCTATTTCGCCTAAGTTCTCGCTAGTTGTGCTTGAATATTTGGGGTGCAGTGCTCCATGGAGATGTGGTTGCAATAGGACCTGTCTGGATGGGAGTCTTCCTTCTGGTGGGATAATTGGAGTGGGCTCGGACTACTGGCATGGAGGTACCCAGAGTTAGCGTCGGACGCGAAGATTAATGTTTTTTGGCGAGAGAATTGATGGGATCTTTTGGCCCTGGCATCCCTTCCTCCGAAAATTGTAGCGGTGGCAGCTGAATCCTTCTTTTGTTTTGGTACAGGTTCGGACAAGCCTGTTTGGACATTAGAACCCTCGGAGTTTTCTCGATAAAGTCGGCCTATCAATTGGTTCGGACAGCTAGAGCCCGGGCGTGGACATTTGCATATATCTGGCACTCTGCAATTCCTCCAAAATTGTCTTTTTTCATGTGGCGATTGCTACAGGGGTGGCTGCCCGTGGATGCGGTGTTGGCGAAATTTCAGGTTCATGGCCCTTCTAAGTGCCATTGCTGCTCACGGCCGCAGTCAGAAACATTGCAGCATGTCTTCTCTACTGGCGATTTGGCAGACGAACTTTGGGGTTTTTTTGAATGGTTGCTTGGCATCTCTTCATCCCCTGTGGTTAATGTTAGGTCACGGTGCTTTAGATGGTGGTTCACCCCAGTCAGAGAAAGGGCACTGCGTTGGCTTTACCGAACGCTACCCTTAATTATTATATGGTTTCTATGGCGGGCCAGGAACACGGCCCGTTTTGAGGGTTGGAGGATCTCAACTGGACAGGTTCGGGGTTGGATCATTCATGAGGTGCGGTTGCTGGTCCAGGTGCATTTCTCGGCCATATCGCGATGGTCACTTCCGTGGACGGAGTTCCTTGATTCTTTGTCTGCAGTGCAGCGCCACTAACCTCGACGTTAGTGTGTTGGGTGTGTCCGGGGGATGGGTTTTTTAAGTTAAATACGGATGGCTGTGCCACATCTCGTGGGGGGAGCGGCGGCGGGGTGATTAGGGACTCATGCGGTAGGTTTATTCTGGCGTTTGCTAATATTTTTGGTCCTGTGAATGCCTTGCAAGTGGAGGCACGTGCTCTTCTACTGGGTCTTCAGCTGGGGTGTCAAAGAGGGATCTCCCATTTAATTGTTGAGTCTGACTGCCGTCTTGATCAATTGTTTACGAGGCTCCTGGGGGATTCCCGCTATCATTCGACCTGTCGTTCGGGCTATTCGGGGATTGCCCCTGAGGGTTATCGGAGGGGAATTCTGTGGCGGACTCACTAGCATATTATGCCAACGCGCGTGGTTTCTTTGAAGTGTTCTCTACGGTAGTTTAGCTACCGGGCCGCACTAGAGGGTTATTGGCTCTAGATATGCAGAATTTTTGTAACTTCCGCTTCCTTCCAGAGGTAAGGTGGCGGCCCCCTCCGTGTTTTGTACTTTGGTCTTATCTCATTTTAATAAAAATTCTGCTCACATAAAAAAAAAAGGACTAATAGCCCTAAGCAACAAATACATAAGCTTGATTCATTTAAACTAGATTATATATTCTCGTGATTATAATCCAAAAGTTTCTATTTCAATCAAATTATATCACTCGCCACAAATACTAAAACTACCAAACAATTATGGATTTGATATTTTGAGATGGCAATAGATTATTTCACAATTAAATAGTGATAAGGTATTTAACCGTAGAAAATAATCATATAAATAATGAACAGAGAATATAAAAAATCTATAAATAAATGCAACCATAAGAACAAATTAAATCTCACAGTATTCATTGAACCAACACTTTGATTATACTTTGACTAGAACAAGGATTTAGCTAAGCCTCATGGTTGAATTGCAGCCGAAGAAATAATTGTGGTTTGCTATTGCAGAGAAAAGAAAGAAAAAAGATAAGCGCTGGCTAATTTTTATTCCAATGAATGAAAAGCTTAAAGCCAAAGTCGTCAATTGTCTCTTAACTTGCATTCTTAATCTTTGTCTACAAAAGAAAGAAATTTGCCCACTAATGCTTGCCTACTTCTTCTCAAAAGGAAAAGAATCTTTTTAGCACTAAAATACTACCATCGTCACTAAAAAAATAAAAGATATTATTTCTAAAAATTAATCAATATCCAACTTCAAAAAAGGAAATAAATCTCTTGATTATTAGGAAATAATTAAGCAAGCTAGGCCCACTTCAAATTTCGTGATGTTCGGACTTCACAATAGGTTAAGACGTGCTCGTGTCTTGTAAAGTATAGTCCTCTGGAAATTTTAATGGCCTTTTTACTCCCTTTTCACAGCAATTTCCTGGAAGTAACACCAAAAATCAAACATGAGTAAAATCTCGTAATTAACACCATATCTTGGCAAAATAAAAAGGAAAAATATTCACAAATTATGTACACAATTAACCATCTAACAAATTACAATATTTTACTCACATAATCTCTATGTTTTTGTAGGCCAAAATGATCAAACTCAATTGAGAGTAAATTGGTAGACTAAAAGTGATGAATTAGAAACTTAAAAAGTCACAACGATGATCCAAAGAGGTGGTGCAACTCAAGAATTTGAAAAGATGAAGATTGGAAAGTCATAAAAGAAAAAGGAGAGAAATCTCGGAGGAATTCTCAAGGTTTCTAGCAGTTGCTGCAAGGGATTTTGGGCAAAAAGTTTGAATTCAAAGAGCAAAATAGAGGAAGACAAACCCTCGAAGAATCCCTCTAGGGTTTCTCACAAATCTCCATGGTTTATTCACAAACCTCTGAGGATTTGTTGGTGGCTGCAAGTTGTCAACTTACTTGATTTTTTGTTTCCTTTCGCATCCTTGATGTGACATAAAGCAATGATTTGTATCAGTATTTTTGGGTTTTAGGAGCTTCTTTTCTTGACTATTTGACATGAAGAAACACATTGTTGAGGAGAGAGTTTAGTTCTTGAACAAGAACAACTTTCTCTCTAACTTAGCGTAGTTTTAGTTTTAACTTTAGTTTTCATTTCTTTGAAAAAACTTGAAGACCTCTTGGTGTAACAAATATTTTTTATGGTAATGAAGATGCTAAAGCATAGAGATCTTGCTTTTTAAGTTGAATGAGAATTTCTTCTTCTTTATTCTCTTTAGTGTTGTATTAATGCTTAGTTACATTAAAGATATGAACATTATTGTTGAATCTACTATGTCTAGCTAAATCTCCTTGTTCTAAGGATAGATGAAATTATTTGTGCTTTAATTATGGTTGAATATAGTTGATTATTGTTATGCCATATACTTGCTACTTCACTTATTCTTGCTTTTACATTTGTGAATGCTTGATCACCATTTTGCAAGGCATGATAGTTTTAATCTATGAAAGTAGTTGGTAATGATGGAAATGGAATAGGTGGAACCTAAGGAGTAGACACACGAAAGTAGTAATGCACTTAGTTGGATGATTTTGACACTTCCCATGCTTGATTAAATTTCACTTGTGATTTCACCAGGAAAGTAGAGAAACTATAGTATTGGCTAAATTCAGTTCATTGGCGAGAGCTAGTTCTGATGACTTAAATGAAATGCATCCTTAGCAAGACAAATGCATTAGTGATAATTGACTATTTCATCCATAATTAGGTACATCTAGTTGATTCTATACTTTAGGACATTTGTGTTTAGTTGACTTTTTTCAAGATGTTAATTTTTCTTGCATTGTTTTATGGTTGTTGTTATTTACTTAGTTAAAATTCTTGATTAGTCTGGATAGTTGAGTGAGCTAAAAGCCTTAGTAGTTGGAAATAATTCTTGTAGAATTGCTCCTAACTCCCTGGTACTGTGAGCCACAATGAATAAGAGAATTGGCATGGGATAAAATTTAAAGCATAAGTTAGACTCTCATCACTTGCAGTATGAAATTTTGAGTTATGTTTAAAACTTGGATGCAGTTAAGGTTCAAACTCCCCATGCAATCACTAACTATAATTTTTTAGCACGCATGCTATTTAGGGATTGGTGATTTATTGGGTAATTTCTTTTATTCGTTGTTTTCTTTGTTCATCAAGTCTGATTGGTTATAAATAGTGTGTTATATAAAGTGCTTTTAAAGAGAGTAATGAGAGTCTCCAATGAGCTTATCAGGGGATTATCAAGTGTTTATTGTGGTGTGACTATTTTCATTAGTTCGAGATATTAATAAAGTTGCTATTTTGAATTGAGTTCTTTGTTCTCGTCTTTCTCTCTCTCTCTCTCTCAACACACATAGATATATATATTGTGTAATTGTTTTATGCCTTCAATTATATATTTCTGCGCATTATTATTAGTAGAACTCATAAAATTTTTATTTTTTGGAATTCTCCAAATTAACTGCGTGTTGTTAGACCTTATATTCCAAGCACATGAAGTCATGCCTTCAACTAATCAGCTAAACAAAGTACAAAAGATAAATAAATAAATTTATCAAATGAGGTCATAATAGCAACCGAACGCCAGCCCAGGTCAAATTACATAAATTAGGTTTTAATAGCATGAAAATGAAAACGTGGCTGCCAGTGCTGCTATCCTTCATAAGGAATAAATAAATAAATAAAGCAAGTCATTTTAACGGTCCAAAAAATGCTCCAAACAATCGATCTTTACTCAATATGGTTGAAAATAACGGTAGCACCTATAATCTAAAAATCTTTA